TCCCAGCCTCATTAATTTTTCAACCTCTAAGAACAATATAGCTTCCCTAGAGGAACTACAGGGATTAGTACCAAATACCTAAAGGATACAGGGGTAATGGTTTCTGTCATCACCCCGTCAATTCACTTGTCTAATCCTTATAAAAACCAGATATGTGGCTGATAAAAATGGACCATCCTAGACTTAACTGAGTGGTATCCCTAATCCCTTCTGTGCCAGATGTAGTTTCTTTACTGGAAGACATCAACAGAACTCTAACACTAGTCTGGAAAATGCTTTTTCCCCCCATAATTCTGTCAATAAAAATGACTAAAACTTTTTTATCTTATCACAAGCCAATGTCTTCTGTTCTATTATAGTCTAAAGCAGTGGTTGGCAAACTCATTAGTCAACAGAGCCAAATATCAACAGTACTTCTTCAAAATAGACTCGCCCAGGCTGAAAACCGACTTCTGCACATGGGCCATGAAGTTTCAATCGCACTGTACGTGCGTGCCCACACATGTATTTTGTGGAAGAGCCACACTCAAGGGGCCAAAGAGCCACATGTGGCTCATGAGCCGCAGTTTGCCGACCACTGGTCTAAAGGGACAGAAATGATCTTGGACTTTCCCCAGAACATGACTTTGGTCCTCTATCTTGGGGACATTATGCTAATTTGACCCAGGAAACAGGAGTAGCAAGTTTTCAGAATGTCCAAGTAAAACACATGCATGCCAGAGAGTAGGCAGTAAACCCTATGAAGATTTAGGATAGTATCATATCATTGAGTCTTCAGGAGTACAGTAGTTTGGGGGCATGGCACCCTGTCCCCTCTAAGATGAAAGGCAAGTTTTACATTTTGACCAAGCACTACTAACAAAGAAGCACAGCGCTTGGATTTGGGAGACAGCAGACACTATTCTTGGCTTTTGCCCCATTCCTGTGAGAGAAGAATTATATACATCACACCCTTGGAAAATGTTGCTTTAACTTATTTCTTGGGACCAAGGCTGTCGTATAAACTTGAACCATATTAACAAGCAGTCCCAATGGTGTTGGAGGTCCCACGGACAGTTAAGCATGTTCTGTGTAGCCTTCAGCAAGTCCCAATAGAGTTTCAACATGGATCCTGGAGTCTAAGCAAGATTATGTCACCCACAACAGACAAGCAGCTCCTGGTGTGCCACGGGGTCCTCTCAGAGCCTGAGCACCGACCATGGGATAACAAGAGCCTGAGTGGAGCTGCCAACCGAGACCCTGGTGTTGGCCTGTGGACTGAACGGTCCTGGGTTCAATTCTAGACAGGGCACATGTCTGAATTATGGGCTCAATCCCCAGTAGGGGGCCTGCAGGAGGCAGCCTCTCAATGATTCTCATCATTGATGTTTCTCTCTCTCCCTTCTCCCTTCCTCTCTGAAATAAAAATATATTAAAAAAATAAGATAGGATGCAGAAACCTAGAGATTATTATGATAAGTGAAATAAGCCAGGCAGAGAAAGACAAATATCACATGATCTCACTCATATGGAGAATCTAATGAACAAAATAAACTGACAAACAAGAGAGATCCAGAGATGTGAAAGCATGGAACTGACAAATCTCAGAGGGAAGAGGGCAGGAAGAGATTAACCAAAGAATTTATATGCATACATGAATTGCCCATGAACATAGACAATAGTGTGCTGAAGGCCTGGAGTGGGATGGGTGAGAGCTGGGTGGAGGGGGCAATGAGGGTAAACGGGGTGGGGAGGGGGAGGGAAGGCATCTGTAACATTCCCTATAATAAAGATAAATATTAAAAGTTACGGTATTGATAATCACCTTTAAAGATGGTGGCACCAGTGCCTAAATTCCCCATAGAAGACCCTGTAATATAGCACAGCCAGATTCAAAGGCAAGTGTGACAAGATTATTTGCCACCTACTTGGACTTCCACCCGGGACTCAGACTTGAACAAATGCATAGAAGTGCAAGCATACTGGCTGTTTGTGAGTCCCACCCGAACATGCTCTCCAGCTCAGCTGCTCCTGAACTTGCTCAGAAAATCCCGGAGGTAAATTCTTCCCACCCAAGAACTATGAGCAGATCAATCAAGCTTTTTGGGCTAACAGAACCCCAGGTAGGGTGGTTAACATCCAAGCCATAAAAATTAACCTTGAAGTGGTTGTGTGAGGCAGCAATTTCCAGTGTTTACCTATGCCGCCATCTTCCCTATTCCTGACTAAATCTTTTGAACCATCTTTGAAAGAGTCACTTCTCTATTCAGTAGGTTCTCCCCACCAGCCAGGCCCCCGAGGAAGGCTGTGGAGTGTGATAAGGGATTTGAGGAAGTGCAAGAAACTGAAAGGTCACACGGTAAGAAGCTGAGATGGGAGTTAAACCTGGGCCTGATTTCAAAACTTACTATTCCAATAAAGCATGCTACTTGCCATCTAAAAAATTCCTTTAAAGAAAGAGGAAACTCTTCAGCTGAACTGACCCAATAACTCTCCCTGACCCTAGCAGGCTGATAGCATCCACCAAAATGTAATAGGATTCCAGATTGCTAGGCTCATCTGCCAAAGCTATTGTAACACGGAACTCTCCTTACCATTCTACAGAGAGAACATGCCGCTTCATTAACTAGAAAATAGGGCTCTAGCAACCTAGACCTGTGTTTCTGAGCTTATTCCAATTCTAACCTGCCTATTATTTCAGTAGCCTACAAGAAATTTGACAGGGACAGAATACATCTGCCATAATTCTAGCATTCTTTAACTATTTACCACTATTAGTCAGGGAAAGTTGATCCTTCATTTTGGTGTAGACAGGGTGTTCTTATGAGACCACTGAGCCAATTCAAGAACATTGAATTCTGAAATACCATCCATGGCAACACCTAAAGAAACTTCCTTGAAAGGAGTCTGCTTGACAGGTAGGGACCCTGACAAGCAGGGGTGGTACTATTCTAATGTACCCCGCGAATCACAGAAGTCGAATTAAAGAGTCACATTTATTGCAAATCCGGGACTATGACGGGGCATTTCACTCTCCCAGATCTCAGTGATTAGATGGCCGCAACACCAGATTTATATAGGCAAAAATCACAAAGGTATTGATGACATCCCAGGGTTTGGAATGAGGACCCTGGTTTGCACAAAGCAGTTACAGAAGCGAGATTGAGCCGATTAGTTATCTACAAAGATCAATTACAGTTTGGGGTCTTGGGACCACTGAGTTGACAGAAACACATTATCTAGAGCCCTCGGGTCTTGGGACCACTGGAACCCTCAGGTCTTGGGATAATTGTGCTGTCCTGGTTCCCAGCTACAGAGGAATTTGTAAGATCACAATCAGTGGTTTATTCACATTACAATCAATAAGGTATTCAATCGAATGGGATGATTTATATAATTCGGAAAATCAAAATAACTTTTCTATTGTTAAACAAAGCAAATAAGTACAGAAGCCGAACAGCAGGGTTAAAGTTAAACTGTAGTTTCTACCTGAGATGATTGCTACCATACTTCATTCCCCACTGGTTTTATGTACATGAGTCAAATCTTGGACTCATCCTTACTAGTTAGGGGATTGTACTGTCCCCTAACTACAAGTAGTTTGATTGAATTAATTTTTCTAAACTGCCTGCTTGGCACATTTAGTTTTATACTCACCCCACTTCTTTAAAGGGCATTCTCTATTCTGTTCCTGCTCTCCTGTCCCCTAGCACATCTAGCCTCACTTGGCCCTGGACTTTCTCACTGGCTAGTAAAAATGTTCTTACAGGTACCAAGTCCCCTAGTGCCATGGTCCCCGTCAGTACTGTCCTTACTGAAGCCCAGTTCCACTTCTGCAGGCGTTGAGCCTTCTCCTGGCCTGCGTGGAGCCTCCTCCTGGCCTGCATGGAGCCCAGCCTAGGGATCTCATGGGTGAGGCCGCTGGCTGCCGGGATCAAGGCCGTTTCCGGGTGTAGGAGCTGGGAGTGGTGTAGCCAGGTCTGGATGCCATCAACCTTAACAGCTGTGGGTGTGCTTACGGTGACAGTGTATAGTCCCTTCCAAGTTGGGGTGAGTCCTTGGGTCATGAACTTCTTTACCCACACGGAGTCCCCAGGCTGGAAAGGATATACAGGGTCATAGGGAGATGTTTACCAAACATGATTTCAAAAGGAGAGAACCCCTCCTGGTTGGGGCTACACCTGGCCTGTAAGTAGGCAAAGGCAGGAGGTTGGTCCAATTTTCACCAGTTTCTGGGATGAATTCAGTTAACGTCTTTTTAGAGTCCTGTTCATACCTGCCCTGAATCTGTGGCTGGTATGCACAATGGAGTTTCCAATTTATGCCTAAGACTTGAGTTATACTTTGAGATACTTTGGCTACAAAGGCGGGGCTGTTATCTGATTCTATGACTGCTGGTAGCCCAAATCTAGGTATAATCTCCTGGAGTAATTTCTTGACCATTATAGAGGCAGTTTCTGTCCTGGTGGGATAGGCTTCAACCCATCCCAAGAAGGAGTCTATAAAAACTAGCAGGTACTTATACCCTGATGCTGGTGGCTTAATCTCTGTGAAATCCACCTCCCAAATACCCTGATGCTGGTGGCTTAATCTCTGTGAAATTCACCTCCCAATGCTCTCCTGGGGAGTTTCCCTGGGCCCGAATTCCCAGGGGGACCCTCTTACCTTGCTTAGCATTTACCTGTACACAGATAGTACATCTAGTGACTATACTTTAAATGATCTTATCTAAGCTTGGTATGTAGTATCTGCCTCACAGAAGTTCAGAAGTCTTGGAGATGCCTAGGTGGGTAGCCTGGTGTAAGTGGGCAACTAACGTCTGACCTAGAGCCTCTGGGACCAACATCCTGCCACCTGGTAAAGTCCACCAACCATTTGGTCCTCTGGTAGCTTGCTTCTGTTCTGCCAATTCCTCCTCTTGTAAAGACCCCACTGGTTTTGGGGCGGCTTCCTTGGCAGCTTGGTCTGCAGCTCGGTTTCCTTGGGCGGTCTAGGGTGACTACCACTGCCCACTGTATACCAGATTTCATCTTGAACATAACTGCTCCCATCTTATACATAATAGTACCTTGTCTGGTGATGACAGCAGGACATCTGTCAAGCCTGGGTGAGCCATTTGTACTGTGTCTGTTATCTCCATGTAGTCATGTATGGGCTCCTCCAGATCATCATCTGGGAGCAGCCCAGCAGGGTTGATGGCCAGTGTCTTATGGAATCGGATGTGGGGCTGGTCCAGGAGAAGAGCTTGGTACTGGGTGACCCTGGTGTTTGACACTCATCTCTTCGGAACACCTCGAAGAAGGGCTTCCACAGCATGGGGTGTTGTCAGGGCTAGTTCCTGGCCCGAAGTCAGCTTATCTGCCTCCTTTACCAGCAATGCTGTGGCGGCCACTGCCCGGAGGCACACTGGCCACCCTGCAGCCATGGGGTCCAGTCTCTTAGACAGATAGGGCACAGGTCTCTTCCAGGGACCTAGAGTCTAGGTGAGAACCCCTTTGACAATGCCCCTTACCTCACTCATGTAGAGGTGGAAGGGTGGAAGGGCTTCCTGACGTCTGGCAAGGCTGGGCAGGTGCTGAGACGAGAACCTTCTTTAGCTCCTCAAAGGCCCATTGTTCCACTTTGGTCCAGTTCAGCGGCTGCCTTCCCCCAGTACTTGAGTATAGAGGTTTAGCAATCTCCGCGAACCCCAGTATCCACTGGTGGCAGTATCCAACTACCCCTAAGAATTCCTGAACCTGCTTCTTGGTTGTAGGCGTGGGGATCCATAAGATTGCCTCTATTCGACTGAGGGAGAGGGTCCGCCTGCCTTTGCTAATGTCATACCCCAGGTATGTGACATGAGAGGAGCACAAGTGTGCCTTCTTGGCTGACACCTGGTAGCCAAGTGCTTGTAAGGTGCCTAACAGGCCCTCGTTGGCTTGTTGGCAATTTTCCTCGGTATCTGCTGCCAGCAGAAGATCATCTACATACTGGAGTAGGACACATTCTGGCAGTCTAGTCCAGGTTAATTGTCCTGAGAATCCACCCTCTGGGTCTTTCCACTCGAATGCAAAGATAGCAATTCTCTTGTTTCTAAACTCAGGGGGTATTGCCTTACCCGAGCAGGAGTGGCGTGGTTTGCAGTTGGACTACTACAGGAGGTTGATGACTTGCTAACCCCGAGGGGTTGTTCTCTGCCCAAATCATGGGAAAGAGATGTTGTAATTTCCCCAACTAAGCAGGGGGCTTGGGTTCCTTGGCCCTTTCCTATAAGAGATATTCCTCTGAGAGAGGACAAGTTACGTTAGAAGAATGCAGGCAGGGGAGGACGGGTCCAGGCTTGGGTTCCTTGGATCCACAGTGAAGTGTGTTCCGTCCCCCTCGAAGGATATGGTGGCTTGTAATTTCTGTAAGAGATCATGTCCAAGTAAGGGGTACGGGCATTCCGGGATGACCAGAAACGAATGTGTTACCGTTTTCTTTCCAAGGTCCACAGTCCTCTTTGATGTCCAAGGAAAAAGGCAATTTGTCCGGTGGCTCCCAGGACAGATGGCTTCTTAGATGTTACGGGTCCCATTGGCTCTGTCAAGACTGAATAGGCTGCCCCAGAATACACCAGAAAACTAACTAGGGGTCATATTTATGAAAATTATTATTCTGGGCTCTAAGGGGTTCAAGGAAAAGGAGTCCTGGCCCTATTAGTTCCCTACCCTGAGTGTAAATCCTTCAGAGCCTGGGTTTTCCCCTCAGCCTTCCGCTTTCCTTTATTAACCTACCAGGATAGTTTCTCTTCCAGTGCCCCTACTTCCTACAATAGGCATACTAATGCCTTCCTAGTTTGCTGCCCGCATTTTCTTTAGTCCTGTTTCTCCTCTGGGGTGTCCCTATTGTTAAAGGCTTTCTGGGTCTTCTCTACCAGCTGTGACCCATTCATTCCTTCAAATCCTCCTAATTTTTGGAATTTCCTTTTCTAGCTGCTGCCTTTCAAGCCCCCATCCCCAACAGAACACGGTGAAAAGTGTCCAAGGAGGCCTTGTCCTTGGGGTTTCTTGGGTCTTATTGGGGCACAGGGAGGGACAAGGAGGCACAGGGAAATTTCCCTCCTCGCCGCCACTGCAGCAGCAGCAGCCTAATCACAATAACCCCTCGGGGTGGTCTCACTGGGAAAAGCGCTTGCCTCCAGCCAGCAATGGTGGCATGGTGGGGACCAGTGGCCCTTATGCTGGCCAGGAGAAACACACCCTGCATATTACAAAGCGCCTCTGTGGCAGGGGGGTGGGTACCAGGCCCCTGCCATCGTACCCATCCCCTGTGGCACAGCAGCGATCAGGCCTCTCCCAAGGGAGTGCACTGGAAGGGGATACCAGCCCCTCCTCTGCTAGCAGCAGCAGGTACCGAACCCTTTCAGTACATCTGACAGCTTCATTCATGGCCACTTTTATAGATTCCATGGCCCGTTGTCTTCTTTTAACCAACACGCCAAATGACACTGGTCTGTATTATTTCCTACTGTGAGTTAGAGGAAGACAATTCCCACAGAGGGGAGAAATGGACAGTGGGAGTTTGAGAAAACTACAGGCCTTCACTGTAGTAGCTCTCCCTCCCGGAGGCAGGGGTCCGACCTGCGGAGGAAAATTACTCTTAGTCGGCTTGGAGAAGAAGGCAGAGGATGACAAGGGTGCAGGAAAATTTTACTAAAAACCTGGAGGGTCTCCTGAAAGAAAAGATCCTTAATTCAGCACAGGCAGGGGGCAGGGACCATAAAATCCCCCTGCCCTGAGGAGCTGTGAGCCCCACCCCTGAATGTCCCAGTCAGACCAAAAAAGCCACAAATCTTTAAATCTACCCCAGAATTCCAAAATTTCAACCTAACACAGCAAATCACAGAGCAAATCAAAGTCCCTAGTACACAGACAGACAGAAATTTTTACTATTTAGGCAGGCCGATTCCTCCTCTGACAGAGAGCAAGCACCTTTTGGAAAACCCAGCGGCCGCTCAGGGCATTTTGCTATCTGTCGGGGCATTCAACCTTAAAGAAATCGAGCATGTGTTTTTTTGTTTTTACTCTCGCAGACTTCCACAGTTACATGAACAAATAATTAAACTATAGTTTCTACCTGAGATGATTGCTACCATACTTCAGTACCCGCAGTGGAACTGGCTTACCAACACCCTAAATGAAAAATATACACATCATATGGGTCAAGTTAAAGATATCATATTAGCTGAATCCATTATGCTTTAGAATCATTACACCATTTCCCAATTCTCATACAACACCATCCTGACAAACATCATAGGGGAAGACAGGGATGGTGGGAGGCCAGCTGCAGCACCTACTCATGCTCTGGGAAGTATATGTCTAATAATGTGGTTTGAAATCACAGGTTCCCTCACCAGTGAATATTCCGGAATGCTGGGATTGATGGGAGAAGGATGACCAAGTGGCAAGACATTATATACTACATTCCTTTCAGGTAACGGTATGTCTGTATTGTTCAAAACAACTTTCCATTAGGAATCCTTTTATTAATAAAATTGGAAAAAAATCCGGGAGCCATCCAGAATTTGCGGGGGCTAAGGAAACATGTCCTGAAGCAACCAGCAGCATACCTTCTCCAGCATTTGGACACAGATTCTAAATTTGTGATTCTCCTTTGGTCTTAGACCTGGAATCCCTGCCTAGCAAACATGGCCAGGGAGAGTATTTTAAACAATGGGAGCTTGCCTGTGTTTAAATACTTTGGGTCTCAGATACATTCATTTTATAATGGTAGCCATATCCCCCACCCCCAAACACACACATACCTTACCCCTGTCTTATCCTGTTTGGGGATGAACAAGAGCAGGAAGTGATCAGGTATCTTGGGGCCTAGTGATTGTTATCAAGTCATTAACAGGACTTTAAGGGGATCCTCTGTCTCTCTGAACAATCCTTTGTAGTGAATCACCTTTCTTTTTGCATACTTTTGTATATTGGTCAGTAGGCTGCTCTGCTGACCCTGGCTCAACTTTTTCATATTTGGAGGTTAGCTCACCTATGTTGGTCTCAAATGGCCTCAGTTGGGACAACAGAACCTTTATCCACATGGTCTCCTCTCTAGCAGGCTCTTTCTCACAACAATCGCAGTGAAGGAGGGATAAAAATGCAGAGTAATTTTCCTCTCCCTTCAGCAGAACATCCAGCATGCTCTATTTCACTCACAGTGTTAAGAGTCAGCTCCTCTCTTCTCCAGTTTCCTTCAAGTATTCCCTGCTATGGCGCTAGATCCTTTGTGCAGTCTCCACTACTGCACTTATAACACCACTTCTTCCCTTTGATGCTTCAACTCTAAAAGTAGGAGTAGCTTCTTGCTGTTAGTCTGGATATTTTCATTTCCTGTTGGGCTTCCAGCTCTTAAAGTAACTTTCTAGCTTGTTGCCCACATTAAATTTCCCCTCTTCAACTATTTAACTTTGGCTCCACTTTTCCAAGTGAACCCAGACTAAGAATAAGCCACTGAATTGCCATCTCTTTCCATTGACATGGGTTTAGGGCATAGGATATTTAGAGGCACCTTAACACTTGAGCCATTCATCATAAATAGCAAGTAATATATCTAAGAGCAAACTAGGAGCAAATTGATCTGGAACTATTCGATGTGCCGAACCACAAAAGTTTATCCCCTAACAAGGCACTCATAGTACAGA